TTTTTTTCTGGAACGATCCCCATAGCAACAGCTCACCCTGCGTCCGAACTCCTCCCCTTGCTTCACTTCCCGAGGGTAGCCGTCGATCAGGAAGCCCTGGGTGTTGCTGAGGCTGGACACCATGGCCTCCTTCAGGAGCTCCAGAACGACACCCTGGAGCAGAGGGAGAGTGGTCAGGGCCCAGGCTCGTCCACCGAACAGCATTAGCATCATCACAAGTCTCCCTCAGTCGCCCCACTCAGGAGGGAGGGAGGTTCGGATAAGATCAACCGCAGCCAGCAATACACCATGTTTCATCAATTCTAAGTCTCATTTCCACCTCCTCCCTCACATTTTAGTGTCTGTGAAATTGGTAGGTATCTTACAATCAGTGCTGGGGCATACTTTAATTGTTTGTGTTTTTTCTTACTGATACATTCTTACCGATCACATTTTACTGGGGTGTCTTAAAATAATGGCATCTTAGATTAGATGAAATATGGTAGCCATATTTCACACGGTAGCCCTCCATGAATTAGGTGGAAGGGCAGTTTAAAGCTAGACAAAACATGGTATAAGATGAATTTCACTGTTAATTTTTTTCCAGTAAATATTTTACAAAATTTGACATCCACTGACTTGAGAAGACTTTCAGAAGATGTGAAGTAGCATTTTCTAGCAACATTGCTCTCTGTTGAAATTTTTGATTTAACAAGTGCTTATGGAAAATAAGGGAGTAGGGATACATGGAAGCTTGGGAATGGGTGAAGGAAAAATGAAATCAGCTGCTAAAATGGAGGAATTTCCTGTTCTCTGGCTCCCTGGCTTTTGGCAGGGGCTTGGGAAATTCAGCCATCACAAGCATGGTGGTGACAATCTATCCCTAGATAATTGTGAATTAACTCCTCATGAAGCTCATATTCTAGGGAGGAAGGCAGACAATAGATAACAAAATAATTTAGAATAAAGAATCAGTGAGGGATAACCTATAGGCACAAAATTAAAGCACAGCAAAGAGATATAGAATGCTGGAGCTGCTATTTTAGATAGGGTGGGCAGGGAAGGCCTCTGATAAATTATGACATTTAAGCAGAGATCTGGATGAAGTAAAGGAGCAAACTTTGAATATATGAAGAAAGAGTACTCAGGCTGAGGAAACAGCAAGTGCAAAGGTCCTGAGGCAGGAACAGCCTGGCTTGTGGGGGAACAACGAGGAGGCCAATGACTGGATGGGAGTGCGCACTGTGTGCGTGGTGGCAAATAGCTTTGGAGAGGTCGCTGGAGTCCAGAGCCATGGGATGGACTCTGGATTTCATTGTAAGTGTGGTGTGGAGACTTTGGAAGGCAATAACACAGTTTGATAAAAGTTTTAAAGAAATCACTCTGGCTGCTATGAAAAGAGTCAACTATGGGAAAACAGAGTGGGTACAAAGAGGCTGGCTAAGAGGCAACTACAGTGGTATTTTCCTTTCATCAGGATCGTTCTGGCATCCAGGTGGGAAGCAGACTGCAAGTGGGTAAGAGGAAGCGGAAAGCTCTGTTAGCTAATAGGGACTGTTAGCTAATAGCCTAGCAGGGGACCTAGGACCTACAGCACGGATGAATATTTTCTGATATCCATGTATACAGCTTCTAAGAGATGGATGGTGACTTGAAAATAAAAAAGATATAAAAAGAGATATCTTTACTTAAATTACAAAAGCAATATATCAAGATCCTTAAATTCTATATTTAAGATAATGCTATCATATCTCCCAGAACTAGAACAATGATATTTTTTATTTTCCAGTGCTTTCTAATTCTAGGCTGTACAGCACCACACTCACCTCTGTTTTGAAGATTTTTACTCTAAAATGGGGATCAGTTTTGGGGGAACATGTGAAATAGGCTAACATTGAAGGGGTTGGCAGAGCAACCAGAAAGAAGGAACCTGGGCCTGCACAACTTGGTTGGGTAGATGCACTCTCTGCTGCAGGCCTGCTGGCCACTGGATTGTTACAGCAGAGGGAAATAAAATACAGTTATTGCCCCTTTGGGTTTCTTTGTTCCAGCAGCTCAGACTCATTGCAACAGCCCCAAATATCCCTCCAGCCAGGGCAGGCAGCTCTGGGGTGCAGGCAGCACTGGGGGGCAGGCGGTGTTGCTTACTGAGGGCACCATATCTCCACGTTCCATGATGTCTCTGATCAATTTGCTTCTTTCAGATTCTGATGCCAGCTCATTACGCAGGAGTTCACCAGTCGAGAGATGTGTAAATCCATACTTTTCCACCAGCTTTTCACACTGTGTGCCTTTGCCAGAGCCAGGGCCACCTTGAAAAGAAGTCATGTATCAGACATGCGTCCCCAGAATGGTGCCTCCCTTTTTTTTTTTTTTTTTTGACTGTAGTCACCGTGGTGAGCCAGCCTCAGTGCTTCCTTCACCAAGCATGTACTGAGAATTTACACGTACTGGGAGCCGTGGTGGAGCCATGGACACAATGAGGAATTGGATAGAATCCTTGCCCTCAAAAACTTACTATCCATGGGGCTGGGTGGTTAGCTCAGTTGGTTAGAGCACAATGTTATAACACCAAGGTCAAGGGTTCAGATCCCCACACTGGCCAGCTGTCAAACAATGTTCCCCTCCCCAAAGAAGGGGGCTTACTGGAGGGGGCAGGTATTACAGACAGACAACGAGCGGTGGTCTAATGGGGAGGAGTTCGGGCTGCTATTCGGGCAGAGGAGGGGCACATGACTCTGTTTTGGTAGAGGTGCAACTCTGAGAAGTTTCCTGGGGAACTGAACCTGCTCGTGTGCAAAGTACTGGCTACAATGCCTTATACTTAGTGAGTACTCAACAAATGCCAGCTGTTAATTTAAAAAAGAAATTGTTCTTATTTTCAGACTATCACAAACTTACAGAAGAGTTGTAAGTAGAGTACAGAGAACTTTCTGAAACATTTGAGAATATGTTACCTCATCACTTCAGAACATTTTAGCAACATTTCCTATGAACAAGGAAACAAGCACATCCTCCTACTCAACTACATCCTCAGACCCTATTCAGATTTCAATTGAATTGTCTCAGTTGACTCAAAAATGTCCCTTGAGCCACTGGATCAAGTTCAGAATCACGCATTCCCTTTAGCTGCCATGTCCTTCTGGTCTCTGTCAGTACGGAACAGTTCCTCTGGGTTTCCTTGACACTTTTATATTACACATAGTGATCTTGTAGAATGTCCCTCAATGTGATTTTTTGTTTGTTTTTTTCCCTAGCTATGATTATTAATTCTGGGTGTCTGCCTTTGATGATCCCTTGCCCCCAAGTTCAACTAGTTGCTACGTCATAGGATTTTACATCTGAAATAAAAATAGTTAAACTTTCCCAAGTGCTCTTGTACCAGTCACTGTTCTAAGCATATATGTGTATTAATTGAAAATAACCTTAAGAGGCAGGCACTGTTATTATCCCCATTTTACAGGTGGGGAAGCAGAGGCGCAGAGAAGTTAGCCCCATTGATTTGGCAAGCCTAGGACTTGAAGCCCAGACTGGCTCTCAGAGGCGTCCCCTTCTCTTCCCCGCCATGGCCAGACCTACGAGGCCACTGCTCAGTCCTCACACTCTAGTGGGAATGCGTGGGGCTCTGGAGTGCAGCAGACCTGCTCGCAGGGTGATGTGCCTGAAAAGCACGCCACTCCCCAGCTCCATTGCATTCAATGGCTTCCCATGCCCCAAAGAATAAAAATCCAAACTCCTTAGAGTGGCATTTCAACCCTCTGGAATCTAGTCCCATTTGACCTCTCCACCTCCCCCAACACTGTCACCTGCAACCACACACAGTTTCTTCAACAAGATATTCTTTTCCGGGCCACTGTGCTTTTGCTCTTCCTGGTCCTCAGCTTGAAAGGCCCTTCCTCCCTCCTCTTATCTCTCCATATCTCCCCCAGCTTTATTGAGGTATAATTGACAAGACTGCATAGATTTGAGGTCTACAACCTGATGATATTGCATATATTGTAAACTGATTACCATAATGTTACTTATCATATCCATCACCTCACACAGTTACCTTTTTTGTGTGTGTGGTGAGGACATTTAACATCAATACTTTTAGCTATTACAAGTATACAATATGGTTTATTAACGATAGTCCCCATGCTGTACATTAGGTCTCCAGAATGCATTCATCTCATAACTGAAAGCTGGTATCGCTTAACCACATCTGCCCATTTCCCCCTCCCCCAGCCCCTGGCACTGACCATTCTACTCTCCGCTTCCATGAGTTTGGCTTTTTCAGATTCCATATATAAGTGAGGTCACGCAGGATTTCTCTCTCTATGCCTGGCTTATTTCACTCAGCATAACGTCCCCCAGGTTCATCCACATCACAGACAGCAGGATTTCCTTCTTTTCATGGCTGGATAAGATCCCACTGTATATAGCACATTTTCTTTACACATCCATCCTCTTTCCTAACTATCAAGATGCTCCTCGTCCCTTGGGCCCAGATCAGATGCTCCCCCCTTGTGGCAGGATCTAGCCCCCTTGCCCTCAACTCTGTTGCAGGGACTGGTGTGACCAGCACCTGGATGCTCTCTGCCTGTCTCGCACTTGGTCTCCAGGTCCCTCACTAGACCCTCTGCCCTGGAGACTTCCCTGGGTGCCCTCAGTACCAAGCACAGCACCTTGCACGTAGTCAGTACTCCATAAATGTCTGATGAATCAGTTTTCCTGTTAAAAGGGAATATTTAATGTTAAAATGCAAAACATAATTGACATTTTAGTATGGTAGTGAGGATTTATGACGTATTATGCAATTTTCCTGGTTTGCTTCTCTTTATATTCAAAACTTCTTTCTCAGTGCAGTTGGCAACTGCCCTCTGAAGGGACCACATTAATTGTCTCCCTTTGTAGAAGGCTTCTCATTCCTTTTCTGCCTTGAGAGGAAATCCAGGAAAGGTTCATGTTTTCTATCTTCTGCTCACCCATGCAGCTGCTCTAAACCGACTGGAGAGGGTTCAGACCCCTCACAGCATTGTCCTGGCTGGGCTGGATGTAACAGGAAAACAGCAATTACAGAGGCCAGCGGAATAATACAAACCATTTTCAGGAGGAGCCAATGCCAGCTAAGGCTACGTCTGCTGCAAGCACTATGACTCCTTTCTGCTGATGTAACAGGAACAGAGAGTGGGGACAAGAGAAGGCCACTCAGGGGAAGAAGTGCTTCGAGATAAATGACTGAGGGGAGCAAGCAGCTGAGCTCCTGCAAAGGCCATAAAGGCTTCTGTGGCCAGATTTACCTGGAAATGCTTTTCCTGGGACGGCTGGAAGCTGGTCATGTGGAAAAGATTTCCAGACTTGGCTTACAAGGCAAAAATGCTGTGTTCCAATTATTTTCTTCCTTCAGAATCCTACTAATATGACTATTATAGTTTTTGTTCCTCTAAAATGTTATTTAATGTCTCCACACAAAGGCAATTAAAAATCTTCAGCTCAAATTAACAACAGCTGTGTGTTAAACAGCAGCCTCTGCCCCAGTTAGAAACCTTTCTTGGGAGTAACAGCTGCAAATTCTTAGCATTCTTTGGCCAAATGGTGCAGGCACTGTGGAATTTTAAGTAATTGACACAATGACTTGATTCTTCCCTAGACTCCAAACTGGAGAACAAAGTGATTTTATCACGGCACAAAATCTGCTGGCGGAAACATGAATTTTCATATACTGTTACTTACATGTCTTTGAGGTCTTAACTTGTGACTTTAAAATAAAAAACAATGGGGCCATGATATCCTTCCAGGATAATTTGTTACATGGAACCAAATCTTTTGAGGAACCATATATCAGAGTGAGTGGATTGTGTTCTCTGGTGACAAGAAGACTGATGGCACATGAGGAGCTGTCACATTTCCTGTGATCTCGCTGATGTTTAGTGTGTCATTACTCAAGGCTTAGACCCCTGAACAAACCCATACACAATACCATGTGGTGTGATTCACAAAGAGAGTCTGGAATA